TCATCAGATGATATTCAGAATAACGCAACAGAAGCTAATAATACAGTTCACTTGGGTTCCAGCGCACACAGGTATTGAGGGGAATGAGAAGGCAGACGAAAGAAGCACTTAAAGCAGAACAAGTAGAAATAGCCTACAGGTTCCACTCAGCAAATCAGAAATTAAAACAATAATTAAAGATGGTATTCATAAACTCTGGCAAGATAAATGGGATTAGGGGGAAAAAGCATTTATATAGTATTCAACAAAATGTAACAGTTAAAAAAATGAGTTCATTATCACGACAGGAGGAAACATGGTTCAAATCACTAGGCTAAGGCTATAGGACATACAGGACTGAACAGTATAATAGGGAAACATGAGACAGGAATGTGCCCATATTGTATGGAAACTGAAACTGTGAAGCATGTACTTTTGATATGTAGGCAGTACCTTGGAGAGAGAGAAAAAATTAAGAGGGTAACAAAGAAGTCTGTTAATTTAAGCAACCTGTTGAAACTACCAGGAACACACTCTACAATAAAATAATTTCTTAAGCAAGAAGACTTTAGTCTTATTGTTTATTTATTTTATTTGTATTTTATTTTCTATGGAGGTTGAGTTGAGGTTGAAGCTGGTCAGCTGGAGGAGCTGTAGCGCCAGCTAAAGCTTGGGCTCTAATTCTCTGGGGTTTTTTTTCTTTCTTTCTTTCTTTTTTTTTCTTTTTCTTCACGTCCCAATTTGATCACACCTTATTCCAGTAGATGGCGGTAATGCACATAGATTGCAAACTGCTAATAAAAGTCACAGAAGAAGAAGAAGAAGAAACCTTGATGGTAGAAAAGAAGAGTTTTGTAGCTTTTATATGTAAAGTTGTGAATGTTGCCACACGACAAGAAAGGAAAAGTGACAGGATCAAGACAGTGGTAGAAGCTGCAGAGGAGTTTTTAGGTATCCGAGATTTAAAAGCTGAAGATATACATAGTATGCTAAGTTCTAACAATGATGGAGGGTCTCAGAGTGTTATTTGAGCTTATAATGGTGTTCCATCTTTTGCAATGGAATGCTAGGAGTCTGATTGCAAATGGTCAAGAGTTTAAAAAGTTTGTAGTAGAGTCTGAAGATAGACCTGATATTATTTGCATTCAAGAGACTTGGCTACGGCCTCACCTTGACTTTAATTTACCTGGTTATGAGTCAGTTAGGTTTGATAGAGGTGAAAGTCAGGGTGGAGGATGTGCAACATTTGTAAGGGATGGGATACCATTTAGAAGAATAGAAACTGCAACAGAAATAGAATGTGTAATTATTTAAATTTATAAATCAGATGGGCAATTAGTAGTAATCAACGTATATAACCCTTGTAAATCATCAAATCTAGAAACCTTAGAGGAAATAATAAGGGGACAGAGAAATGGGAAAGAAATATGGTGCGGAGACTTCAATTCACATAATAGTCTGTGGGGAAGTAAACATACTGATAGTAATGGTGAAGCAGTGGAAGAATTGATGGATGTTAGACAACTAGTTTGTTTAAATAATGGAAATGGCACAAGAATTGACATACGTTCTAACAAATTGTCTTGTATTGATCTAACTCTTGTTTCTAATAATATGGCAAACTCTTGTGAATGGAAGGTAAAGGAAAGTACAACTATAGGGAGTGATCATTTTCCAATACTTTGCTCTATAAATGTTGAAATAGATCTTCAAGAAAGGCCTAATCACAAGAAGTGGGAGTTTGATAAAGCTGATTGGGAAAAATTTAAAGAAATTTGTTGTATTACAGCAGAGTCGATTTCAATGCAGGGAGATATTGAAGAATGTGCATCTGAAGTTACACATTTAATATTGAATGCAGCAGTTAAAAGTATACCATACAAGTCAGTTGGGGGGGAAAGGAAAATGGTCCCATGGTGGAATGATACATGTACAAAAGCTATAAAAGAACGAAATAGGGCAATGAGAATGTTAAGAAATAACTTGAATCAAGATAATTTAATTAATTACCAGAGGAAAAAGGCTCAGGCACGAAGAGTAATTAAGAATAGTAAACATAATGCATGGAGGAGATATTGTTCTACTATAGGGAGGGAAGTTAAAATAGGAGAGGTGTGGTCAATGCTGAAGAAAATGAGTGGGAAAAAAGTGTATGCTAAAATACCAGTATTAGAGGGGGATGGAATATTATCAATAACAGATAAAGAAAAGGCTAATATGCTGGGAAAGAAGTTTGCTAGTGTGCATAGTGGTGATCATTTAGAAGATATCCATAGACTACATAAAGAGACGGTTATTAAAGAAAATAGAGATGTGTTTATTAAAAAAGAAAGTGAGGAAAGTACTATGGATGCAGAAATGAATTTGAATGAATTAGTGATGGTATTAAATGGTGTTAAGAATACTGCTTCAGGAGAAGATCAACTCAGTTATGTTATGTTCCAGAAGTTACCTGAAAAAGTGTTAAAGATAATATTGCACTTATTTAATAAGATTTGGGAAGAAGGTAAAATGCCCAAAAGCTGGAAGAGTGCATTAATATTACCATTTAATAAACCTGGGAAAGATACTAATAATGTTGGTAATTATAGACCTATCGCCCTAACATCACATCTATGCAAGTGGATGGAGAAGATACTAGTCCGAAGACTTAATTATACCCTTGAACACAGAGGATTACTAGCACCATATCAAAGTGGGTTCAGAAAAGGGCGTTCCACAATGGATGCTGTTGTGAAAGTAAGCAACGAGATAGAGAAAACGTTTAAAATGAAAGAAATAATGAGTATTGTATTTTTTGATATTGAAAAAGCTTATGATTCCATGTGGAGAGAAGGGCTGTTAATTAAATTGAATAAAATGGGAATTAGAGGTAGGTTTTATAACTGGGTCTTAGAATTTCTGTCAGAAAGAAGATTTAGAGTTAAAGTGGGATCAGAAGTATCTGAAGAATTTGAAATTGTTAATGGAATCCCACAAGGCAGTGTTATTAGTCCAGTTTTGTTTAATGTTATGATTAATGATATTTTTATGAATCTAGATAGAAGGATTGGGTCAGCTCTGTATGCTGATGATGGGGCCATCTGGACAAGAGGACGAGATCCAATAAGGGTGAGGAATAAAATCAAGGAAGCAATAGAAAAGGTAGAACAATGGTCGTATAATTGGGGCTTTAAACTTTCTACAAGTAAGTCTTGTCATATGATATTTACCAGGAAGAAAGGGATAGAAAAACAGAACCTGAAGTTATATGGTCACAATATGGAAACAGTAGATCATTTTAAATATCTGGGTATGTGGTTAGACCAAAAGGGAACATGGAAAATACACGTTGAAAAGGTGGAATCTAAATGCAAGAAAGTCATAAACCTAATGAGAGCAATAGTGGGGAAAGACTGGGGAGCAAATAAACAGTCATTAATGTATATTTACAGGGCACTAATGAGGTCAACAATAGATTATGGATGCTATGTATATGGAGCAACAGCTAAAACACATCTATTGAAGTTGGAGTTACTAACAAAGCGTTGAGGATTTGTGCTGGTGTAATGAGATCAACACCAATTAAAGCAATCCAGGTTGAGCTAGGAGAAATGCCCTCAGACCTGAGAAGAGATAAATTAATGCTTATATACTGGAGTCGATTATGTGGATGTGGATATGAAAATCATGCAAAGAGCATTATTCAGGAATGTTGGGAGTATAGTTCGTTTAAAGGCAAAGGCTTTGGATGGGTAACAAAAACAAAATCAGAGGAATATAAATTAAGTAATATCTGGTTTAAATCCCCTACACCTATTAGTAATATAAAAATTATAAAAATTATTTACAAAAACTGAGATAGACTTAAATATATTGGAACTAAAAAACGAATGGGAAGAGAGTGGGAAAGGCCATCTGGCAAGTCAGTATATAAGGAGCAAATATTACAGTTACTTAGATATGTATACAAACGGATCTAAAGATGAAGAGGACAAGGTAGGAATAGGAATATATATACCAACAATGAATGTAAGTATTGGGAAAAAGATTACCTAATCAGGCTTCGGTATATACAGCAGAGATGATGGCGATTATTGTAGGACTGCAGTGGGTTGAGGAAGTAAAACCAGACAGAGTGGTGTGTTGTGTTGATTCTGTAGCAGCCCTTTATAGTATTCAAAACATGAAATCTGATAGAGAAGATTTAATGCTCGAAATACAACAAAGTTTATTTAGATTACAGAGACTACTGATAGACGTGAGATTCTGCTGGGTACCTGCCCATGTAGGTATAAAAGGGAATGAGGGAGCAGATAAAATAGCTAAAAAATCAACCAGGACGAACGATGTCATAAATATACCCATTGGAAAAGGAGAAGCTAAGGCGATAATCAAAAAAGAAATAATGAAGAAATGGCAGGATAGGTGGGATATGGATAAAGGTGGAAGGAAATATTATAGCTTGCAAAAATCTATTAATGTTCAGGGGGTGAATAGAAGTAACAGAAGAGAGGAGAGCGTTTTAACCAGGCTGAGATTTGACCATACAGGGTTAAATAAAACATTGTTTTTAATGGGCAAAAGTATATCAGATTAATGTTTGGAATGTAGATCCAAGGAAGATGTAGACATTGTAAGAAATATAGGGATGAGAGGATGAGGTTAAACCAAAAGATAAGTAAGGCAGGAAGGAAGTGGAACCTCGAAGGTTTATTAGGCACAACAGGTGATGGGGTAAAGGATACACAGAAAGCAGTTATACAATATTTAAAAAACATAGGAATATATATAAGAGGATCTAGTTTTTTTTTGATATAAAGTAGTCCCAACGGATAGTTCATGCTGCATACTCTGATACAGTAGGTGGCGGTATGCACCTTTAAAGTCATGGATGCAATCTGCCATAAAACGGAAAAGAAGAAGAAGAAGAAGAAGAAGAAGAAGAAGAAGAAGAAGAAGAAGAAGAAGAAGTACCATAGGTGGCGGTAAAAACCAACGGAATGTTATACGTCTTACAAACTACTGAAGAAGAAGAACGTCAAATGAGTGCTGCGGGAAACGCGAACACGGTAAATATCTGTAACTTAAACGCTGCACGTTAAATCTATATTCAGTAGATATTCGGTCAGTTGATGCTTTTAGAATCGGCCATCGAATCGTCTCGAAGTTTTTGTTTCAGGTACAATGTCTAGATGTTGATTTTATTGGTTGGTTTATTTCAGGTAGTAGTTTAGATAATTTAAGATAATTTTCCAGTGCTTCTCAAACCTTCCCCATCACTGCACATTTTGTACAGTCCACTCACCAGCTCATTAGAGCAAAATATGCAGCGGTGGAGACCCCAGGTTAGGACAGGTTTGAGAAGCAGAGATGACATAAATATGAACACTTCTAGTGCTAGTTGTTAACTCCTGTAACGGTTAATTAACTCCACATTAACGTTACAGTTTTGCGAGAGAAAAAGGATACTAAAGACAAGTAATTACATAGTATACTAACGTTATATAATATAAATAATTACAGATCCCAATGAAAATCTTAAAAAAATAATAATAATAATTTACAGGCGTTATTATACAATGACAAATGAAACGTTTTAGTTTTCAGGTACATTATGGACTCATCTCTGCTTTCTGTTGCTGAGCAGCTTTTGAAAGACCTTCAGAGAACTTACTCTGAGACGAATAAAGGTACGTTTTATGCTCAAGCTATTGACTGATGAAACATATTAAAGTTACAGAAACATTTGCAGTTCACTAGAAAACTAGTTAACATACATAGTACTACACAATAAGCTGATCACACACACAGTGTACAGAAGTCTCTGATCACAAATGTACATAATGTGCATATATTGTGATTTTTTTTCCCCTCATATAATTATTTTATTTTATTTACAAATGATAAAATCAAAGTAAATTGTGTAACAAGTCGAGGGGATGATTTTCAGTTCATAATTACAATACAAATATGAGTTTTACACTATTTGGATAGTAGGTTTAGTATTTGGTATGGTAATCATGTGCTCAGCATGATTTGATATGGTTCCAAAGAGCAACTTGTGCTTCACTTTTGACCTAAAACATCTAGACCCTAAAATTTTAGTTTATATAGGTAAAAGATTTTCAATGTGGTCTCAGACATAAACATAGCTTAGGCCTAATAATAAATATGTATCAAGTGAACAGTGAAGTTAGTGAACTTTAACAATAACATTTTGATTCTTTAGTTTAGAAGACAAGAGAGTAGCAATAGCTGCAATTTCTAATACTGACACAGGGTAGCGCACTAATACCATGGTGTATCAGACAGCAGCATGTCTTTCAAGTACAACTGCTGCAGTTCACAACTGCTTAAAACAGCTAACATGTACTGTGGGGTTGTTTTAATGTGTGTCTTATGGCCTATGGTATTGAGGCTTCCTTTAATATAACATTCAAAATATAGGGACTTCGGTGAAAATATGTCCTAAAGCATCATGTTCCTCAGAACCTAATGACAATTTGAATCCTTGTATTAAATGTGTCAGAATGTCAATAAGCTCATAAGAGTTTTTGTGAAACCCTTATGTGTGTGCAGACAAGACCTAATGCAGAACATCTGGATATGAGTAGTGACATTATTCTGCTGGAATTTTGATGTCAAGCAATGCCAGAGAGAAATATCTAGGGAGAATGATTTGAGGAGGAATGATTGCTGTAGTGTGTTTGAGATTGAGATGTCGTTTCAATTTGTATTTGTTTGGGTCTCCAGAGAACATTGGTGACCAAAATAAACAACCAAATTAGGATGTTTTGGATGACTGATAATTGGTTATTATTACTATGTTTAACATGTACTTAACTATTAAGTAGTTATTTTTTCCAGATTTTGTAAGAAGTCTCTTATACTCACCAAGGTTGAATTTACGTGATCAAAAATACAGTTAACAGTAATATTGTGAAGTATTTTAAAATGTAATTTGTGACAGCAAAACTGAATTCTCAGCAGCCAATTCAGTCTTCAGTGTCACATGATTCTTCAGAAATCATCGTAATTTGCTGGTTTTTGCTGCTTAATAATTTTGTGGAAACTATTTTTTTCCCCAGATTCTTTGATGAATAGAAAGTTCAATGCACAGCATTTATTTGAAATGGAAATATTTTGTAACATAGGAGTATACATATTAAATTGATTCATATGTCCTTGAATTTCTATTGTCCCAAACATTTTAATGATAGTTTATCATGAAGTAGCACTACTATTTTCAACATTGATAATAATAAGAAATGTTTCTTAAGAACCAAGTCAGCATATTAGAATCATTTCTGAAAAATCATGTGAGGCTGCTGAAAATTCAGTTTTGCCATAAAAGGAATAAAATACATTTTAAAATATATAAAATACAAAACAGTTGTTTTAAGTTGTAATAATATTTCACAATATCACAGTTTTTATTGTATTTTTGTTAAAATAAATGCAGCCTTGGTGAGCAGAAGTGACTATCTAGTCTAAGAGACTAATCTAAATTATTCCAAACTTTTGACCGCCTGTGTGTATGTTGCATTTGTACTTTAAAATCACGCTTGGTGCTTTTACATTTCTCAGGTTTATAAAACTGTAACCAATATATCTCTTTTTTCCCCTCTTTCATATAGTACCGGATGACCTACTAATAGCGTAAGTAATTTTTTTATCCTCTTCCTCTTAAGTTACATTTACAATATTATAAGGTTTGGCCTTAAACTACAGATTGGTAAATATTTTGGATGCTTTTGACCCATTGAGTTGAGAAAGGTCAATTGTTGACCTTTGTGTTATTCCGCACTGAACACTGCAGAAACCAGGTCGTACCTCTTAACCCTCTGCGGTCTAAGGTGTTTTTGGGGTCCTTGAGATGTTTTGACATGCCCTGACATTTGTGCTTTTTTCAGTTGCTTATAAATATATTAATGGCACAGGTGAAATTACACTCTATTTAGCACAAACAGGGCTACCATAATATGTGAGCAACATGTATGTACATGTTTGTATTTTTGAGAGAATATTGTTTATGCATGGTTATTGAAAAAACAAAAAATCAAAGTTTCTGAAATAAGGCCACAAAACACATACTAAATATGTGTCCACAAGACTTTTGACTAATGGATGTTGTCGCCTAGAGTTTTTGCTTAAAAATGATCTGAAAATCATCCTGCCTAATCATTCACATAAAACAATAGATTGTTTTAAATTGTGAAAAACATTTTTTTGTTTGGAAAGGCAATATGCGAATGGGTGTGAACGGCCCAACCCCCTCATGTATAATTAGGTGGTTCTCACCTGAGAAGACAAAGACCTGCATAATGAGCCTTTCATTCAGGTGTGTCACACAAGAAAGAATGCAAGGACTATATATATATATATATATAATGTGTGTGTGTGTATATATATATATATATATATATATATATATATATACATACACACACACACATACATATATATATATATATATATATATATATATTAGGGCTGTCAATCTTCCTCTATAATACTATTCGAAAGGGATGGGCGATATGGCCTAAAATCCATATTGCGATATACATTGCAGCCTCTTGCGATAACGATATATATTATCACTATATATAAATTATAATAGAACCATTTCAGAACAGGTTAGATAGACCATAAGGAAAGCTAAACTGCTAAATCTATTTGTTTTAAAAAGAAACGTACGTAGTTTTGAGAACATTTATTATGCAAAACTGTAATTATACAACATAATGTTGCAGATGAATAAAATTCAAGTACACTAGCTGCAGAGACTTTAACAAAGAAAAAGCTTAAAATATTGGGTTTCTTTCCTTTAGTGCACGCCTGTTCACACATACTCCGTGTGCAGTGCAGGAGCAGCACGCGCTATTGTGCTTTCACATATGGTGCGTTTGCAGTGCGCAACTGATCTACGGCTGTACGACAAACAACATTAATCCTCTATTTTTTATTTCAAATCACTATTTTTATTATTAGTGTCTTTTATAAAATAATATAAAAGAGTTTCAGCATTGCGATTCTATTTGTACACAGACAGTAGTAATATGCACTCTTTCACTCTTAGGCTATTCACGTTTAAACTTAATAGGCCTACACTTAAAAACGTATTATTACTTCTATATAGATTTATATATTAAGTTGCTCAAGCAAGTGGCAAAACATTTATACATTTATGTTAACCCTCTGGGGTCTGAGGTGTTTTTGGGGTCCTTGAGATGTTTTGACATGCCCTGACATTTGTGCTTATTTCAGCTACTTAAAACATACCATTTGCCAACATATAAATTTGCTGTATTCAGCACAACATCTGCTACAATAATATGTGAGCAAAATGGATGTACATGTTTGCATTTTATAGAAAAAAATATTATGCGTGGTTAGTACGTTTTGGGAAAAAAAATGTCACCGCAATAAGGCCATTTAACACATACTGAATAGTTGTCCACAAGACTTTTGAGTTACTATTCTTGTAGGCTAGAATTTTTACTTCAAAATGAAGTGAAAATCATTCTGACCACTTTCACAAACAACAATATAACGATTTAAATTTCTTACGTCAGTTTTTGGTCAGCACTGCTGTATGCGTGGGAGTGTGAATGGCCATGAATATTAATGTGATTTACACCTGGGTGGGAAGACTAAAGACACTCCCCCAATGGCCCATCAAGGTGCTGTGAGGCAGCCTCAACTAAGAATGATTCACTGATGAATAAAAAGTTAAAAAGAACAGCATTTATTCAAAATAGAAATCTTTCCTAAGAACGTAAAGACTTAAAGTCATTCCTATCACTTAACACATCCTTTAAAAAAAAAAAACATAAAAAGACCAAACTTGTTTGTTTTTTATATAAAAAAAAATGTATTCAAAGAATCCTAAAAAAAAACTATTACTGGTTAAAAAAATTAAGCAGCACAACTTTTTCCAACATTGATTTAAAAAAAAAATCATATCAGAATGATTTCTGAAGGCTGATAGTTAGTTAGGTAAGTTAGCGGTACATCTCACTGATGCTGACATCTGTCCATTTATATTTGCAGCCTTTTGCAGTTGCCTTGGCAGCATGGGTAATAGACTAACCAAAACTGAACATTTATATATAAAAAATATATTGTATTTAGACAGTATTACATATTTGCATAGGTGTCGATTTCGGTGGGGGCGGTGGGTACGCGTCCCCACCAGATTTCGTCATGAGTCATTTTGTACCCACCACTTTTGGAAACATTGAGGCACGGATGTACCTAATACAAATAAAACATCTCCAGTTAACTAGCAGAGCATTCATTTAGTCCACTCTTAAATAAGATCTAGCGCTAAAATGTTTTGTTTTTGAACTCAAGCTAAGCGCTCGTGTCCGCTGCTATCAGTGTCATTGATAGTGTTCTCTTGTGGCGGCGCGCGCGCAGTCTTCACTCGGACGCGCTCTTCAATCTATCGCCGTTGCAGCGGACACTATTCATTCCGGTGAAATCACAAAATAAAATGCACACAAACGTGTGTCCCTGCTTGATATAGACTGTAACCACTGTTGTTGTTACACGTTCTGTCCACTAGAGGGACATCTAACATTACAATAAACATTTTATTCGTGCTGAATATGGTTGAAGCGCTACCGATGGTTTTCGGCCAATATCTCTGCTAAAACACCACCAAAAATTCTGAAACTTATATCGTTCTTTTCAGTTCGACTAGTCGGTTCCAACGAGTTCAGTGCTCGCCAAATCCGTTGAGTTTTCACCGAGATATTTGCACTTCACGGGCGCTTTTTTACGTTGTTAAACATTTACCATTTTTGACAGTATTGTTATGATGATACAGCGTGGATAACGTGCACAATTGTGTTACGATTCAAAAACTTTATTGTTCATCAGACGAAACAAAAGCATTTCATTTTCACATGTGTGTAAGCCAAGGTGGCGAGAAAGGCAAGATTGCATACCGTAAAACTTCAAATAGTAGCCCGGGCTTTTATTTTCCCAAATCGTCGAACTGCACCGGCTTGTATTTGAGACAGGCGTCTATATGAGACAGGCCTTTATAATTTAGTGTTGAGATGTTGTTCATTGAGTGTAGGCTTAGAGTCTCTAATCTCTAAAAATTTCCAAATGCTCCACGTGAAACTTCCGACCTTTTACTATCGTGTTAATTGATTTTGATTAATATGCGCGAGGGAGAGAGACGAAGACAGCGCTCGTGTTTGAAGACGTGAGAGTGCGCGCGCGCGGCCGGGGCGCTCTCTCTGCTCGTTATGCGCCCTGTCAAGCGCAGCAGTCATTCTATTCTACATCACTCACCGATCAAAAAAGGCTTTGGCGGGACAAACATTTGCGTTGGGGCCGCCAAAAAGCAGACAATCTGACGGGTTTTAGAAAATTAAATACAACCCGAAACTAAAAAACAGACCAGGCCTCTATTTGAGACCGGCCTTTATTTACCCAAACCTGCAGCCACACCAGGCGTGTAAAAGAGACAGGCGTCTATTTGGGACTCGGCTATTATTTTAAGTTTTACGGTATAAATTTTTTAAAAAATATACATAAAAAAACATTCAAATAGTATTGATTTTTTTAATATTCGAATTATATTCGAATTTCGGAATTCGTTCCAACAGCCCTAATATAAATATAAATATATATATATATATATATATATATATATATGGGCCATTCTATAGAATTGGTTCAAAGTTAGAGTTGGAAACATCTTGAAAAGAAAATGGTCTTTTTCCATAAATCTCTTATAAAGTATTATTTTTTAAAGTAGGCCAATACATTTTATCATACATATTTCAAAGTTAAGGATTCATTATTTTAATATAGCCTAGCTTGCATTGGAACAAACACTATAACAGTTGATTACTTTATTTTTTACAAAACATACTATATATTAACATATGAGCAGAAACTGTCTAACAAAAGCTTATTTGATGTCTATTTTAGAGTAAAAACTTTATAATTTATCCAAAACTAGTCAACGAAATGTTGTCATTACAGACACTATTCTATATCGCGATTAGAACAAATCTCAGTCGGCTATAGCAATATAGTTTGGATGTGTTCATGTATAAATAACTTTTACTAATGTAGGAGCGAGAGTGAATGAACGCACAGATGCGATGGACAGCTGTAGTAACATCGCGCGCGCATTCATTCATTCACACACAGACACGCAATTCATATTTAAACAGTCTTTGTGCAGTTTACAGACACTATTCAATAACGCGATTAGAACAAAGCACTTAAGAATAAATGACTTACTTCATCAGCTGAATCCGTTGCTCCTCGAAATGAAACTACCAGCACTTCTGAGGTAACTTTTCCAGGATTATTACGATAGTATTATTCCTCACAGCGCAGCAAGACGAGGTAAAGTACAAGATTCTTATTAAACTGGATGTTTTATCCAGCTGATGTAGGCGTTTTCATGGCTTGCCTCAACATTTGCGTTTGAATAGCGTGCACTCTCAGTGGGCGTGGTCACATTAACACGTCATACGCTATAATTAGCTGAAAGGAAAAAGACTGACATCTCTCTCTTATTTGACATCTCTCTCAGAATATTTGTTTTTTATATAAATTACTTCATTTAAAAGAAGAGAATTTCAGCTTCATAACGAAAAATCTTTCGTGCCTGTGTGACAAGT